TCTCACTTCACAGAATACTGATTTCTGAAGGATTTTTACACCTGTCAAGAGATTGAGTTTGTCAGTCTTAATTTTTAAGATGATTAGGTAGATTAAGGGTAGCAATAAGTAAATCCACCAGTTATGTGTCCGTTGGAACGTTATGAAAAGGGGAAGGTAAAACTGAAACCTAAGAAAGCTAAGAAACTTAACAGATTTAAGATATTTTAAAACTTTGTGGAAAATTATTCAAATCAAAATAGGTTCATGCCTCAGTGCATTGTATCTGTAATGGTACAAATGCAGGATTAGAGGTGTTACTGCATTGCTTTATCATTACACTCACTTAGGGCTTATGTTGGTCCCTACAAAGAGCCTGCAACAATTTTCAGTAAAAGAATATCAGGTGTACAGAAAAGTAAGACCTTGATTTGCATGCAGCTGCATATGAGAATTTCACAATTACCACAGGTAAGGATAAATAAGATTTTAATAATTTCTGATTGGTATTTTAGTTTGGAGTGTGCCATCTGCTGCTGTGCAATACTAAGGGTAATAATGTCTCCTGTGAATCTGACTTTCTCCCTGTTTCAGAGTCTTGGTCACTGATCATTTATGCTGCATTCTAATGATGGTTGACTCCAACTACAGCACAGCTAACAAGATAATTCACTCCAAATTCCAGACGAGGCAGTTTCAGACTGTACCAAGTTTATCCTGTCAGCTCAAGATAATTCTTCACACTGCAGACGTATCTTCAGAAACATATATATGTAAATATAAAGAGCCAAATAGACAATGAAAACTGATTATTGTCCAACAATTTAAGTTGCATAGAGTCACCAGGTCTGGCAGCATCAACAAGTGGGTCCTTTTACAAGGACTTCTGAACTGTTAGTTACTGCCTCACTCATGAAAAGATAGGAAGAGCTTCAGGGTTCAATTCAAAATTCTTTTCTAAGCTGTTGAAAAATAGATGTCTAATTTATCATCTATATGAAATGAGTGAAAATGCCAGAGTGTAGCCAGAAGTGGCATCTCTGGAGAATAAGCATTTTTAAACGCCGCTCTGAGTAGTACACATCTACCCTTATGAGGAAACAGAATTAAGGGATATGAAAAATACTTTGTCATTCATATTATCTGTCATTTCATCTGTCCTCTGGTTCATGTAATGGAAAAACCATTTACAACTGAAATTCACAAAGTATGACTAGCTCTGTAAACAGGCACAAAGGAGGGCAGGAAGGATGGTACTTGGCGGTGTCCTGACAATAGGTGTTAGGAAGGCTAAAAGCCTAATGGACTCAAAAAGAGATGGGACAGGTCCACTGAGAGCCATTAAATATGGCACCTCCTATGCTATAGTACATCCCTGAGCCACAGAGGAGGATGGGAGTGTTTTGCAAGACGTTTTGCTGAGGATTCGAGATGTGATATCTTGAATTCCTGGTGTTACTTTAGCACAACTCAAGGGCTTTTATTTCTTATGTTTCTTAGTTGTAACTTCCAATCCATCTGGAATTTGTGTCTATGTAACTCCTTATTTGCACTTTGGGTGAGAAGTCAGCATTAATCCTTTTAAATGAATATACCTTGTTTCTGAGGATGGAGATTTTCCTGTTTTCTTAAATTAACCAAACTCTGTCTCATTTTTTAATCAGAAGGCAAATCGACTCCTTTAATCTTTCTTTAATTGGAAATTATGGAAAATGCCATTTGACATGCATGAAATGAGCAGCAAAGTTTTCCAAAAGAAAAGGACTTCCTTTTATACTTTGATCTCTAGTATTAATGCAATCTAAAATACTACTTCATGAATAGAAATTGCACTGCATTATTTGAATGGCGTTTAATTGTATCTAGAATTAAGTCATAAAATTTGTGAGTAATGCAGTTTCAGGCCGTTGTTTTTAGGAATTCAAGCTTAGATTAGTGCCAAGGTGATATTAAATTCAGGTGCTCCTGAATAAGGAATGCTTTTGAAAGAGTTCAGCATCTGCCCAAATTTCTTCTAGTACTGGTTAGCTGCATTTTCCAATTTTTACTGCACAAGGCATTAGTCCGACATAGATTAGCCTAAGACATTGGGCTTAAAATCAAACTGAAAACAAGGAGGAATTTTTTTTATATGTTGTGCACTATAAAGTGAATGAAGGAAATGCAAGTCAGAGTGCTTATGCCAATAGAGGCTTTATGACAGAGCATGGAAATTTCAAATTTGCTCCTGGGTTGCTAAGTCAGTGCAAGGCCTGGCTGCCTGAACATGTTTTCTTTGTGAGTAAAACCAGTGCATGCAGTTGGATTGCAGTGATTCCCAGAGCTGTTTTCTCCAAGTAAAATTGTAAATATTAATCTTTCAGCTTTTTCAAAAAGATACATAGCAGGAAAATGTTGGCATCAACACCAGATGAATTTATGCCTTCACTCTGAACTCTGGTGACTTGCAGACAACTGTTTGCTAATGGTATACTTCAGTTAGATGCAAAATGCATTCATATGTATTTGAAATTTAATCAAAACGTTTGCTCTTATCAGTTATTGCTGGAAAAACACTTTGCCTGTATGATATGAGTCATGTCTATGAGACAAACTCGATTCTAAAGTAATAAAATGATTATGAATATACATTTTAAACAAACATTGAGGAAATTTTATTCCTAAACCATAAGGCCAGATGACTACGCTTGAAAGAAGATGCAAATGGCAACATGCACTGGGACAAAGCAGCAATTCAGCCTGGGCAATGAGGTGTTTTACTCATTAGCTTGGCTTCTTTATTGCTAAGGCTTCTCAAATGTAGGGAAGTTGCTCTGAGGGAATGGGCATAGATAATGATAAAAAATGAAACATTGCCATTGATCTCCTTTCCATAGCCCCCTGACATGCTAAAGATTGCTAAAAACATTGCCCAGAAGACTTAAGTAGGTCAGTATAAATGGCACCATTATAAAGACTGTATTTTCCATATGAATATGCTGTGGCAGAATTGGAACCTTGGGGTATTTTGAAATTGAAGGTAATGATCCCAGCCTTTCTGAATGACTGTAACCCTTCTCCATAGTACAGTTCTATTGAAACTAAGAGGAAAAAAAATCCAAATTAAATATATATTTTGAAGTTTTCTTATTTTTTCTAGCAAGTCTAAGTAGTTATAAGTTACTATTCAGTACCTCAGTTCAATTATGAAAACAATTTAGAAGATGATACATAAATTATTTTAAAAGGTGCACGAAGGTGTGTAAAATAAACTTCTTTGTTACATAGGAAGTTTGTTTGCTTTAGTTAATATAAACTGGCATTATTACAGATCACCAATGAGGAAAAGTACCTTTGGGCCTCAACCTGCAGAGACTTGATGCATGTGCTTATATCTAACCATCCATAGGGCCACCTTGCAGAAACTGGGATTATGATACATTATTAAAAGACCAATAAAAAATGAAATAAGTAATTTTGAAAAAGTTTATTCCCATGTTTAATAAGTCTATTCCAACAGAGATGTTAAGGACAGGAGCCAAACTTGACTAGCAAGAGAGCTCAAAGCCTAATCACAAATTTCAGATATATGAAACACAACAGCATTCACAGAAGAGAAAACAGATTTGCAAAAAGATCGTTCTACAATACCATATCTTGTTTTTCTGTGCTGAATTTTCATGGCTAAAAAAACATCTTAAGCAAAATCTAATACAAACTTGTCAATATAGACAAAAAACCCAGAATAATTCCTTTCCAAGAAGAGATATTTCCAAGGAGTTCCATGTGAGAATTATTTTTGTAACTTATCAAAATGTCTTTTTGCACCTCAATGCTACATACAAATTTCTCTGCTATTAAAATATCATTTTTTCTGTTTCTAAAATTTGTTTTCTGTTTTTCATTTTCCTAAAATCATGTTCATGTTTTTACAGAAATTTATTCTCTTTTGTTTCTTTCTGAATTAATTTAAAATCTCTTTGCTGCATCCGACTGTGGTATTTCAGGAAAAAACGATTGGAATTCAGTGTTGCAGAAAAAGTAGTGCTGCTTGTACTGTTGAGATATATATTGCTGTTTATTTTCTCAAATGATCATTCATGTAGATGAGATATTTATGAACTAAAAATCCTAATATTTCAATATACTTTGTGATCATCATTTTAATTTGAGACCTGAAATTTAGTTCGTTTTAAGTGTCAAAGAACAGAACTGTTGCAGTTCTCCATTTATGTTTGATAATACTTCTGATCTGAATGCTATGTTCACTCAGCATTCTATTTTAGGGCATGTATTAGAAAAGCAAAGTGAATGTGGTCAGTGCCTTCTTCCTCATGTTGTTCTTCTTTGATTACTGAAGGAATGCATAGAATGTTATCTAACCTGAATGATCAAATTCTCCGTTTCTCTGACTCTTCATTGCTGTTAATATAGTGATCTACCTATAAGATAATCTTATTTCTTGCAGATGAATGATGCTATGGGATTTGAATTGCCATGGGTGTATTTTGTCAGTCTCGTCATCTTTGGGTCATTTTTCGTACTAAATCTTGTTCTTGGTGTATTGAGCGGGTAAGCATACACCTTTTTCATCATGAAGGCAGAGTCCTGAATTCAGTTGCCATGAACACACAGGTTATGTTATCCAGGTGAGACTTCAGTTGTGATGACATCAACCTCTGGTGCTGCCTCCTCTAATTAGAACAGGAAAAGTTTTCTGTATTTATCATAAATAACATACAAACAGCAAAATCAGAATTTAGACCTATCAGTATAGGTCTTCATGTTCAGCCTTGTGGCAATGTAGAAAAAGGACTAATAATTCTCATGCACTTACTTAAATATTATTTCAGTTAATCTTCTAAGGCATCACACCTACAGCAAAATTTGGGTAAGTAAAGTCAAACAAATTTTCATTTGTTTTTTTAAGAACTGAGTAGGACATAAACTTTGTGTTGAACCTACGTGATCTGGCAGCTGCAAAAAGGACTCTGCTGTTTAATCAATGACTGAATCATAACTTATTTCCTTACGTTTTACAGGTAAATGATGCAATAGGATGTGAATGGCCATGGATCTATTTTGTTAGTCTTATCATCCTTGGCTCATTTTTCGTACTTAACCTGGTTCTTGGTGTACTTAGTGGGTAAGCAGTTGAGTTAACATTGTGTATGCTACTGCTACTTGTAAGATGGCCTCTGCATTTACTCAGCTTCTCAGCAATGGCTTTTCTGCATGCACTTGAGATTCTTATGTTATCCTACCAGTGTTTGCTTTTTGGGCTGAACTGTGTGATTCTAGTGCCTGTATCTGTCTTGACATCACATTCACCATGCTTGCCAAAAATATTCATTAAATAAGGCACTCATTTCCTTATTCTGTAATGTTCCTGCAGGGAAGACCGTTTGGCACACAGGGATGGGTGGTGTACCTGTACAGATATTCTCCCCTGTATGCAATTGTTGTTTTCTGAAAGACCATCTTTTGCTTTTGTTCAAACATTCATTAAGCAATTGAAATGTTATTTATGTTCACCAGTCATATTTGACACAAATATACTGCAAAACATTTTTAATATATGCTTCAAGATCTGTCTTACAGGAAGATTGTGGCTGCAGTGCCCCAACACAAAGTGTTTGGTGCTTCTTGCACTGTAGAGCTGTGTACTGCTTTGACATCCTGTGACAGGAAGCTGATATATTTATCAATAATCAAGTACCAATTTAATGCAGATGTCAGTGGGAGGTAGTCACAGCTGTTTGTTGGTTTGTGCACTCCAGGCTCCAGCCAAGAACTAAAGGGATGTCAGCTCTAACTGTATAATGTTCTTTAAAACTGTAGTTCATGGCAGGAGTTTGCCAGGTTTTCTTCTTACAGAGCCCCTTTACTTGAGGTTACAACTCCATTTCCTTTGCCATTTACTGGTTTCTAGCACATTAAGCTTGGGAAACTCCAGTTTATGGTAAAGATATTTTCTGAGAAATATATAAAAGTTCCTGCTAGTATTTGAATACTAAAAAGAAAATTATAGTTGTATGCATTAGCTTTTAATTATACAGCAAATAATATTGTTCTGGCAATCTCAGGCAGGCTGTGCCATCTTTGTTAGCCTACAAAAAATGTCTTTTGCATGGAAAGCCGCCTGAAGCTGCAGCTGATGGTGTCAACAGGCTGCTCTGTGTGCAGCCCTGTTTGCGGCTTTGCCGCATTTTATGCTAGATTTGAAGGAAATTGTAATGCATTATCATACTTCTGGATATCAGACAAGCAAAATTTCCAGTTGCTGATGCTAAAAACTGAGCATTTTTATCTGATGAGTTGCATTACAATGTGCTTTTTAAAATCTAAAGTCATTTATCTGTGATAGATTCCTGTTGCACACAGGAAACTAGGGAAAGCATAGTTTAACCTGACTGTCAGAATCGTTTTACAAAGCAGATGCTTAAAAGCAAAAAGCTAGTACTAAAACCACATTGCTGATTTTTAGATTTAATCTTTTCTTTTCTGGACCTATCCTGTAAAGTCTGATTTATACTGTCATATCAGCTTTATCCGAGGACAAATGTTGAAATTGTTGCAGAACTAAGGGTCTAGCTTTCAGCCACACTGAACAAACAAAGTAAGAGAAGGACAGATAAATGAGGGTAGTTACAGTGTAATTTATTTCTTCTTCTGATGCTGTTAACTAATATTGCTCTGTGACTAGACTTTCCACTGAAGTCATTAGAGGATTAGGCTCTCACAGTTCCTTCCCTGGCCCTTAAGAAGGTTGTAAGCACCAATTAATTTTCTTCCTGTCATGTGAAGGTGCCTGCTAACAGATAATAAATATTCCTATTTTTCCTTCCATGACTCAAATTGTTATTGGTTTCAAATTTTTCTCTTTTTAAAAATGAATGTGAGGGAAAGTAACTCCGGAATTGACATTTTATTGCACATGTGAAATTTTTTTTTACTGAAGCAGTGGAAATTTAGACACCCTCATGACTTGGCTTTACTTCTGGCTTAATACATTTAATGTGCTATATAAGGTTTACACGGTTATGATACTTATGGCATTTGTTGGAATATGGAGTTGTTCTTTAGCTGCTGTTCCAAAACAGGGGAAGAGGTGTCCCCTTGTCCTCGGGTTCCTTTCTGCAGACAAGAATTCATCACTGATTTCTAGGTGTTGCATGATCCATAGAGCTCTAGTGCTCTTCAGAACCTTTGCTGGCTTGCCTTCAATTTCCAGTGAACAGAAATGGCAATGTCAAAAGTGATGTGAACTCTCCTTAAATTCATCAAGTCATTAACTGCTAAATTAATTTTTCTGCCATATTGTCACCTAACTGCACTGTCACTTGTGTGCTCAGGATGCCTGATGAATTGTATTAATTCATGTTTGCCCTAAATACATCAAAGAGTCTTCCTAACACTCAGGTTTTTTTTGTTTTCGATCTGAAGAAAATTACACTAGTGAACTGAGACATGTGATATATAAATATCACCAAGAATTCACATTGGAAGTGGAAGGAGAAAGGAAAAGGGACTATTCCTAAATGAGACCTGTCATACCAAACTCTTGTTTGGTACATAAATGAAGAAAATGTCCTGGTGTACTTGTTTGAAACTCTAATATACAAGGGCCAGTGTGGAATACTGTCACTTTGATTTCTTTTGATTGCTATATGAAATTTATGTATAAATAATAAATACTTTCACATACTTTCTATTTAGACCTACTAGTCTAAATTTTATGGGTAAGATTGATGTCCTAGTAAAACGCAATGGATATGTTTGTATTCCATAGTAGAAAGGTAATATTTTTCATTCTGAGCCAACCACTGGAGATTTAACACATGCTTTTTTATTTATATAAGAGTTAGCTTTTACATTTCATGCTCCTCAAACTGTGGCATGAAACTTGGTTTATGATAAATCTACAAGTAAAGTTAAATTTTACTAAACCGATCAAATGTCAAGAATGCAAAAATTATGCCAACTTACTTGAAAAGCATGGCTTTGCATACAGATTTTGAAAGTGGAATCTGAATGCCTAATACCTTTTCCGTATGAAAGTGCTGCTTTCTGCAATATCAGTTTATGCTGTGTACATTTAAATCTGTCTGCTGTTCTGATCTGTTTGTGGTTTTAAAATATTCAGTTATTCTCTTTGCACTCCTTTGTTGCTCTGTGACTATCTGCCCCTTTGTATTTCTGTAATGCCTCTTGTGCACTGCATGTTTGATGTAGATACTGTGTAAATGGATGAGAATGATGATTTGGCAGATCTTATGTTTTACATCTAGCCGTTTCTGAAGGTAAGTAATTTCCTGGTGATCCATGTCAGTCTTGCCTGCTGAAGGTGATGCTCTTAAAAATAGAGTTCATATTTGTAATAGGAGCTGTGTAAATTAGTAGAGACAATGTGTGTGTGGAATCTGCATGTGGTAAATATTGTAATTTCTGCATGGAATCTGACTATGGAGGTTTTTCCTAAATATTCTCTTGAATAACAAGGATGGAGAGAATTCATAGGCTTGAATTAATTCAGCTTTTTCAAAATGCTGTAGTTTTTACTCTGTATTAGGCACTAGAAGTATTCACATTAGTCTAAAAGTGAATTCTCAATTGAAAAGCAATTTCAGTTTGCAGGACTTGACAGGAAAAGTCATTCTAGAAAAAAGTTCAGGTCAGGCTTTAGAAATAGCTCCAGGTCTAGTTCAGGCTGTAGTTCCATGTCAGAAATTAGAGCCAGATTTAGATAATACACCAGAAACTGGTTTTAGCTCCAGTAGTGACCTGTAAAAATTGGCCTAGAGCCAAATCTAGTGATGCTCTCAAAAAGATAGGCTCTAGATTTAGCTCTAGAAAGGCACTGAGAGATGAGCAGTTCTAGTAAAGGTCTCTGTAAGGAGCTTTGGAAAGCACTATGGGAAAGGATTCCAGAACACACTCTAAATCAGTCTCCAAGAAATATCTGGGCAGTTAAACCTAGGTCCAGCTCTGGAAAAGACCTCAAGAGATGGACATAGTTCCACTTTGGGAAAGGGCACTGAAATTGGCATAAGATCTATATTTTGAAAGTGCTCTAGAAATGGCTCTAGACCCAACTGTGAGTGTGGCTCTGGGGAAGGACTGTAGTGATGGCTCTTGGTCCAGCTTCAGCAGAGGGCTCTGAAGAAGGCTGTAGCTCTGGCCTGAGAGCAGAGTTGATAAACAATTCATCCCTAAGCTGATTAGAAAAATTGACTCTAGATCCAGCTCCAGAAATGCATCTGAAAATGTGTTTGGAAGTGTGGTTCAAAACCTGTGCCTGTTGAAAATTTCTTTCAGCACAGTGAATTTCTTAGGAATCTATCTGGACACCTGGAACTGACAACTGATCTTTAACAATTCTTTCAATATTTTGAAATACAGAGCAGAATGCTTGCTGCTCTGGAAAGTTGCAGTGGATGTATTTTCATTATCTTGGGCTGGTGTGCATTTTGCTGATTCACATTATAGATTAAAAGCTGTATGTGCTCTGAATAATTTTTTAGCTCCTAGAAATTGCAGGGTGATCATGATATAGTCACACTCTATTTCAATTGCTTTGTCTCTTGTGTCAGTATCATGGAGTAGGGTCAGTCTACCTGTAAGAGACACCAGAGCACCATTTCTTCCTTTGTACATATTCCTCTGGTTCTGATGTAAGGACTAGGCATTGCATCTTTGAGGCAATTTCAGACTTGATGAAGTGGCACTTAAATAGTGGCTGAGGGGCTGCCCAGCAATTCTAGCTCTGTGAAGGTTGGTGGACTGCTTCAGAAGTCTGCTTCTGCTTGTAGCTTTGGTTACAGGCAACGTGTGTAACAGGCAGAAACTGGACCTGTATTCTCTGAAGGCATGAAATACTGGGCATAGAAACTGGGAGCTGAGGACAGGGCCTCTTCCAAATATTCCAAGCTTAAATACCAGAGTTTGTCATGGCTATTGGTGCAAGAGACAGTGAGCTGAAATTGAAAGTTAAGTTAGAGGTTATAAGGTTATTAGAAAGTTAACAAAGATATACCTTAACAAACAAAGGGAGTTGAGAGATACTCATCCATGCCAAAAGTACCTTTAAAAGTCTATAAAATGTTAAAATAAATATTCCAGTAATTCAACATGCATTAAACTGTT